ACTATTACTATTATTTTTTCAGGATACTTATGTTGCGGAGTGCACAGATAGTCATGGCTCTAATGCTAGTTCATGGCCACGCATGGATAACGAGGCATGGGTTAAGGCTGTTGGAGGTTGCTCATCTAATTTCATGCCAGGGATTGGCTCCCAAGTAAATCCAGAGATGGTTGGTTTTACTTACAGGAAGAGACAACCCTGAGAAAACTTAATAGCAGCACTGATGGCGTCTGACTATGAGGAGACACAGGCAAAAGATCATGAGGAGTTAGAAAGACAACGCCAACAAATTGCTTTGATGCAACAGCAGCTGGCCAATATGACAGAAGCTCAGAATAATATGAGCCAGACAATCGCACAATCTGTTGCAGCAGCTCTAGCCGCTCATGGCATTTCCCCTCAGGCAGGTCATCATCCAGTTGCCCCACCACAGCTGTCACATGGTCCTGGCTCAGGTCTTCGCATGAATTCAGCTTTCACCTACTCCAATGATTCTACACAAACCTCTCCTATGGTCCCTGAATACCAACAACAGCGGCAGTTTCTGCCTCAAGATGATGATGCATACCATCCTACTTTTGATCCAAACTATCAGGGTCCTTAGTTTTTTTACTTTTCTGCTACGCACATTATCTCCATACTTTGCATGGTTGGCTTTATTTCTATTAGTACTTTAAACTGTTAGCTTTAGCTTTTATTACGATATATTTTCTTATTTTGCTTGACCTCTAGTGATCATACTTCAAAAGGTATGAAGTTTTGAACTATTTTGGAGGTTAATTATTATTAACTTAATATCGTGGGTATTTAAAACAATGGTGTGTGATTGCCATATATACTTTGTGGTTGTAGTTATGGTTGAAAAGGTATAATTGTTTTTAGTATACTAGACTTGTAGAATATGTGTTTTTCATTGCAAATGCAGGTAAAAAAAATTGGTTTTGATCATATGTATAGGGAAACTCTGTCAATTTTTTTTTAGAATTTATACCAACTAAAATGACCAAATTACAAAAAATCTATTGAATAAATTTGGAATTATTGCATTTTTTATCACAAAGTTATAGTATTGCAAATGCAGATTTAAAGAAAAAAATACCTTTTATCATATATACGGGAGAATTTTGATAATTTTTTTAAAATTTTATGTCCACTAACATGTAAGAAATCTATTACAAAAATTCAGCAAATGGCATGAAAACGAAATCTGGAAAGTAACTTAGGCAAAATGGATGAAATCTGGAGAGGAAGCTGGGAAATGGTTACCGGCCATACTAGGAACGTACTCCTAGTCGGTGAATTGGTTTCCAACCTGTATCTTGTCGGTAAAGACGCCAAAACCATGCCAACGGGAAGCTGGTCGGTAATTTGGGCGCGAGTTGCAAAAATTTTGGTTCTCGCCCACGGTCACCTGACCATGTGATTTTTGTCGGTGAAAATAACACTGACTAACTACACATGGGTAAGTTCCCATATATATACCCCCCCAAACTCTAGCCGGCTTATTGCGTCTTGTCTTCCTTCTTATTCTTCTTCTTCTTCTAGCTCCTCTGGCTATTGCCTCCTCTTTTTCTTCCATTCAATGCTGCTGGATTAACTGTTTATATATGTTTATAATTACATTATTGATATAATTTTAGGTTGATATTTTCAATCTCCTCCCTTTTAATTTTCTCTTTCATTATTTCTCCCTATT